CTGGCCTTGAACTCTCTGTGTAACCTAAGCTGGCCTCAAATTCACAGCAGTCTTTCTGCCTCAATCTCCACAGTGCTGGGATTATAAGTATGCCTCACCACAGCAGGGGACAATCTTAATTTTAAAAGTTTCTTATGTAATATGTAGATATGCTAACTTAGAGGTGATATATTTCAATCAAGGCATAATAATTTAATAGATGATTTGCGTAGGCTAGAGATCTTTGTCATAAGAAAAAGTAAATCATGGTACCCCATGACTAAGGGAGAATCCTGTCAAAAGAAAATGACAGAAATACTTTAAAGTTTTAGGGCCAGCCAAATAGGGAATTAAAGCACCTACAAGAAGGCACAGGGGCCGGGTGTTTTAGTTACTTGTTGCTGAGACAATACACTGGACATCCAAAGTTAGAGGAAGAAAGGCTTATTTCAGCTCACAGTTTTTTGGTTTTTTTCTTTTGGGCAGAACCAGGGGTTGAACTCAGGCCCTGTGCTTGCCAGGGAAGCACTGATTCTACTAAGCTATCTCCCAGGCCCCCTGAGCTCACAGTTTATAGAGATTTCAGTCCATAGTGGCATAGCTCTAAGGCAGGGTAGCATGGTAGAGAGACATCATAGAGGAGAAATAGTCCTTGGTAAAGCAAGGAGGAGACAGAGAAACAGCAAGCAGTAGCAGCAAGCCTGTCTTCCTTTCCCACTCCAGGTTGGGGCTTCCATTATCCCTAGGCATAATCCCAGTATCTCATCCTTAATCCACATTCACACATCCTAACCTATCCACCTTTGAAACTCCACTCCTTGAGCACTTGAGGCTTGGGTGTGGGCGGGTGGGTGCGTATCACCATCATGATATTGGTTAATGCTTTTGGGCATGTGTAAAGTGATTGTTTTCTATTCTTAGCACTATACATCACATATGGGATGTGATCAGTACTTACATTGCTTTTGGGCCTTTTGCCTAAGATCAAGTATGATCAGCACTATATGTTGATTGATTTTTCATCTGAATCAGGCTGAATGCAGTTTTCTTTGTGTCAAATAAAAACTTCTTTGTACCATTAATCACTGACATAGTATTGCTGAAGATCATTGTTGTGAAGACTGTGATTCTCCCTAGCAACTTGCCATATTCCAAGTGACTTTCCCATAATACGAGTATACATTTTATACTAGGATACACCATTGAAGATTACTTTAGTAGCTGTTTCTAGTGTATCAAGAGTACTTAACCAAAAAGTCCATACTGCTGGTATAGTTAGGTTAATGCTTGTAGTTGTAACCTTGTAGTTATACTAATGCTGTAGTGGTAACTTCTGTAATGATGGTCACAGAGTCAGTGGGGAGGAAAATATTAAAGGTATGATTCAAATTTATTTTCGCATTTTTTATGAACATTTTGAAAAATCTGAAAACTGGACTTTGTTATATAAATTGATAGAGAATAATAAGTGACAAAAATATAGAGCAATGGAAGCTTAAAATTCATGAGTCACTAATTAAGCGTATTTTCCTGTGCAGGTATAAATTGGCCTCTTGAGCTTCAGCCTTAGCAAGAAAGAAGTGGGAAATACTCCTGAAAAGAAAACTAAACCTTCAAGAAACCACAACTTGTTTTTACATGGTTTTCAGCTCACTTACCAATATGGACACTTTTCCTGACGTTTTTCCACCTGGTGGAGATCGTAGACTAAATTCTGACTCTGAGTTGCAAAAAATGTTAATTGATAAAAGAATGGAATGTGAGCATCATAAAAACAATTATCAGAAACTAAAACAGCAGCACACAGGGTAAGTTACTTGGATTAGAGCTGAGGCATAGGTTGTTAAATAAAGTTACTAGACTTGTTTGGGCTAAATGTTTCCTCTGGAGCATCAAGTATAGTTTTGTTTTTATTTCGAGCATTAGTACTTTTGACACAGTAAAATTGTTGCTTTAAAATATCTTTGTTTCAAAGCTATGATATCAAATGACTGTAAATACAGCCAGGTAGCTTGTTGTGTTTTCCCCTAAAAGTAAAACTGCTTTCAGAAACTACAGTGTAAAACTCTGTAAACAAAAGATACTTATCCAGTCCTAGCCCTAGTCCGGTGAGTGTGTGGAGAGCTTCCTGCTACCCTGCACCGGCGGGACCAGTCCCAGCCCAGGCACAGCATGGGCCGGACCCTCTCCCACCCCTTGGGCCACACCCCACCACTCCGCAGTACCTCCCCCAACCCACCCGCCCAGTAGGAATTTCTGCCGAGTTCCGGGAACCCCCAGACCCAGTCCTAGCCCAGGTCCGGTGAGTGTGTGGAGAGCTTCCTGTTACCCTGCACCGGCGGGACCAGTCCCAGCTCAGGCGCAGCATGGGCCAGACCCTCTCCC